CGCAACCCGCGGAAGACTCCTTGGTGTTGCCGGTGAGTACGTGATGATTCTACTCTGATTAGGATGTATCACTGATGCAATTCAAAAGTACAGATGCATGGATGCTCTTCGAGTGTCTGATTCACAGGTGGTAGCTATGAAGCACGTAAAATCCTCTTCGGACGAAGCGCAGGTTTGCCAGATGTTTTCGAGCCAGGAACACACTGTAAATCTGGCAAACCATTGTATTCCACTCCTCAAAGTGCTGAAAATACCTGAGTTTGATGAAATCATCCTTGTCATGCCATGGATGTGCACAGTCAAGGATCCACCATTTCGAACTATTGGCGAAGTGTTGCCATTTTTTCAAGAGATGCTTCAGGTCCGCTTTTCTTTTACAATTTTCATGATTTGGGTTACCGATTAATGTCTGCCTACAGGGATTACAGTACATGCATCATAACAATGTCGCGCATAGGTAAGTGACATGCCATGTTCTCCAATACTTTGGAAGTTCTTAATTTCATTCAACGTCCATAGAGATTGCTCCATCAATAATATGGTTATGGATGCTCGCACAATGTTTAGTGACCAGTATCATCCCGCGGACTTGAGTATGAAGTATGACTGGAGTGGCGAGGTGTCATATGCGTCGCGAACTTGTCACCCTCCAAGATACTATCTAATTGACTTTGGATTCTCGAAGATATATGACTCCGGGAAAGAGCGACCACTAGAGGAACCTATCATGTCTGGTGGGTATATGCCTCCAGAAGGAGAAAGCGACACTCCCTGCGATCCATTCATGACGGACGTATTTCTGGTCGGAAATATGATGTTGAAGCATTTCATTGATGTAAGTCTACTGAGAGAGAGAGAGAGAGAGAGAGAGTTATTTTAACCGCCGCAGGCCACCATTTCGGAGCCAAGAGCGGGGGAAACTATGTACTAAGTACTAGTGACACCGAGTATCGTATAGTGGTTGAGTATGTATTGTAAACTGTGTTCGTTGGTTGTTGCATCGTAACGGTTGTAGTAAATTTGTGTGTAAGTCGAGGTAAATGCAGTGATCAATAGGTTTGGACAACAGATATGAGTGGCTGAAGGAGTTAGTAAGATACTGTGGTGAAATCTTTTGACGGTTGGACATTGGACTTAGGGAGATACCTCTGAGCTGAGGTCTCAATTCGGAATTCATGGGTTGAAATTTCTAAGACCTCTCGCAAAGGACATGGTCTGGTCTGATCCATCCAAGAGGCCCACCATTGACCAAGTCGTAAATCAATTCTCAGCACTAGTCAAGAAGATTTCTTCGAGGAAGCTATGATCTCGAGCTATCAGCATGGAAATTCCTCTTATTCTCGTCCCGTTCTTTGCACTGAGCTCGAGACACAAATCCTGGACACGCTCTGTGAAACGTGCTGGAAAGCCAGCTATTCCTTCACGTACTCAATGTAGACTCGAACCGGTCACTGCTGCTGAGACGTGATATCAGTTTCTCGGCATTTTCAAAGTGACACATCCAAACCTGCTGGTTCGAGACCTGTTCGCCTTTCTAGCTTTATTTATCATACTGTTGTTATTGTGTCTATGTAAGGCTTAGGCCCAAGACAGTCCTCTCCGAGTTCGAACAATACTCATCTGCTAGGCTCAAATTAAAAATTCCCAGAGATCGGAACTTGAAGGACTTGACTTTCTTTGTTCTTTTTATTATGTATAGTCAAAGTTCATAGCCTTCTTACATATGGGACCGGCGTAGAATTTTGACGCTTTGGTCTGGGACCATGCAGCCGAACCAGTTCATCCTTGTAAACATATATTTTTGGACCTAGAAATGGACCCACATGTTCAATGGAAATAATCATCCAATCGTCAGGCTGTATTAACTGTATTACAATCTAACAAAAAACAAAGGGGAATTATCATCGCTCTCAGGCTCTCAGCGCTAGCAAACATCGATCATTGACATTGAAAAGCATTTAAATCATAAAACAAGGAACGTGTAACTTCTGAGAACAACGCTGAAAACTCTTTAATAAATGGTGATTTTTGTCCTTTCAGATTGATTCCATTGACAGTGGAACTTTTGTAAATATTTGGTAGCTTGGAGAACTCCGTACATATGACCCCGCCGCGAATACATAAATGGCGTTATTACAATATACTATACAGTTCACGTTACTTATCACACGACAGACAGAACTGGGCACCTCAGATATACAGAATGTACAGTTGTCTGACTATCAACTGAGATTCTTTACACTTACAGATTATGTGACTTGAGCTCTGATCAGAGAACAAAAGCATATCGGTAGCAAAAGAACCCAGAGCAGCAACTCAAAATGTCATTCGGAAATAGCATAAACATACCAAGACTCCTGGATGAAAAACAGCTTGTCAGAGAAGATAATTGGAGACCGTTCAAACATGAAATTACATTCACAGTACAGTCAAGAGGACTGAATGGATACCTTGATGGTATGATACCAAGACCAAACAGTTACTCTAGGCAGATATATCTGTCGACCTGCCCTCCTACACCCTGTCTAGAGGAATGGGAGACAGGTGACAGACTTGTTGTGGGAGCTATAATCTCAAATATCACTGGCCCAGTTGGACCAGGGATAGACAAAATGAAGAGGGCATCAGAGATCTGGCAGGCGCTCATAAAGTGATTCAAAAAATGTGACAAACAAAGGATTCACCTTGCTGATACAAACCTGGGCCAAGAAAAGTATGATCCAACAGACTCAACAATGGAAGACTGTTAAGATCATGTATACGGGTAGGCCGTGCCAAGGGCCAATCAGTAACTAAGGGTGGAAGCTATGATGGGACAGTGGTGAAGTTATTAACAACACTGCCATTACGCCGCTAGTCCCCGGAGATCGAGAGTAGAGAAGGATAGAACTAGAAGCAGCCAAGTCAGAGCAGCAGTAACACTGACAATGGGGAGCGAACCAAAGAACTTATAAGTTCTAAGGTCAGAGTAAGGAAGACTTCAAGGCGACGAGCCTGAAGACTTAAAGACAAGAGAGGTTGATCTAAGTTGATCTAAGATGATAATTAAACTGAGGAACTAAAGTACAGTACAGGAGTATTTATATCAACTACTTGGCGGCTCGGAGCGAAGCGCCAGACTAACTAATAGAGGCTGTACGTTTAGTACCATCAGGGTAAGGAATAAGACAATAAAACTAGACTAAGGCAAAAGGGAATGTGTAGCAAGAAATTACAATAAAATAAAGATTACAATAAGTCCAGATCTTCAGAAAGCCGACACCGGCGGTAGGCGCCGAGCATGGTCTTGACAAAGACCACAAAAAACAGATGAGGAACTTACTTAAAAAAAGATACACAGCTTCGGAGGAACCACCATGGATCCGCAGTTCTGCCAAATTGTAATATCCTCCATGCCTCCTGACTGGAGGCAAGATGTGCAAAGTGTCCCTGGAAGCTCAAGTGCAGATGTGTTTGCTTACCTGCACACCCTCTGGTACCAGAAGGAGGAGCAGCCCAAACAAAGGGCAAACCCAGTAGGTCCACATCTGTCCAGAGTCCCAAGTCAAACATGGACCCCGCAACCAGGCTGGACAATCCCATTCCAAGGGGGACAGGTCAGCAGAATAGCAGGGACAAGGAAGTAGATAGGGACATAGCTTAGTACATGTATATTGAGGAACAAATGTCTAATTTGCTGGGGTAGCACATCCCTGTAGTTGCGACCAGCTAACACAATACAAAAATTTCTTGATTTGGGCTCAATGATTTGACTTTATAGGGGACACTGAAGCCCACGGGCAGGGAGGAAGCAAGGCAGTTCCAAATCCTTGGAACCAGGATAGTCCAGTTCACCACCAGGATCAGAAGAACCAAGAGAGTGATCCAACTGCGCAGAGTGAAACACACCCTGTGCTTTGGCCACAATTTGATATCCCTGTCAATACTTGATAATCGGGGCATGCGGGGCAGAATGGGGACTAAGCATGATGACAGTCAGGTTGCAGGAGGGAAAACCCACCATGGAAGGCTTCGGGAGGGGCCAGATGTATGAAGTCAAAGCACTGGAGTCAGGCCAGACAACAGTTGACTATTTACAATTGCAGGTCAGACTAGCTGGTATACTGACCTGGCACAGGAGATCCAGCCACATCTCGATTTGCCGAGACCTATGAATGTCCAATTGCAAGCTGCAGGCTGGTAGACGGCCTAAATAACATGAGCTGAGAGGTCTGTGGCATGTGCGAGGATTGCTTGTATGGGAAAGCCACAAAACATCTTTTTGATGAAGTACATATACATAGACCTGTTCGGACTATCAAGGACACAGAGCCACGGGGGAGGGACATACCTCATGCTTTGTACAGATGGAAGGTCATTATTTCAAGTCTTGTATGTACTACTTGACAAATAAGCAAAAAGGAAAAACAACTGGGGTCAAGGCCTTATATGAGTACCAAGGAATAGCCAGAAAGTGGATGGGGAAGCAGCTGAGGACTATCCAGATTGACGGAGGAGGAGCTTGATAACAGTCTGGTGGATGCCTACTGCACAGAGAATGGGACCACGGATGAGAAAGTGCCACACACACAAGTCATCTGCAGTGAATGGGGTAGGTAGCTGAGAGGTCTTTCCGCACTGTCATAGAGAGAACACATATATGTTGTCAAAATAAGCAAACCTCCTATACTCATACTCATACTCATTTTGGGGAGAAGCATTAGCCAAGGCTACGTTTATGTATGTCAGCAACTTCATCCCCTCCGCCTGATACCCAAACCCCAACATCATACCTACCCATTGATGTGTGAATGCAGAAGCACTACAATGTATCCATCCCATCTACTACAGCCAAATGATTTGGCTGGGACTGCTGGGGAACTTTACCTAGGAGACGCACTGATGGGACACTCAGGAGGCAGACAATCTCAGGAGGCAGACAATCAAAGGGAAACTCCTTCATATCACCCCACCTATTCATACATATACATTCATACCCCCTCACCCCCTTGATGATACATGGTCTAATAGTGTAGAGGTTATCACACGGGATTTTGATTTCGTAAGTTTTCCATCCTCGCATATCGTCTTCCCGTAACCCAGGTTCGAGTCCTGGTTAGACCTTGCGACGCCATCTTCATGAATGTTTTTTTTTTTTGGGGGGGGGGGTTTGTGATTGTGTTGTTGGTGTGATTATGTCGTTATGATGATGACTAGCAGTAACCCGTGCGATGCACAGCTTAGTGTTGATGATGATGATGTGATGATGTTGATGTGATTATGGTTGATGTTGTTGGTTGATTGAGTCTTTCATCGTAGGTGTATTATGTTATAATTAATTGAGCGAGTCTTTGTGAGGCTTGGTGAGAGTATTGGTGTAGAGGCTCGGTGAGAAACATCGGTGAGAGGGTTAAAAAAAGGTTTTGGAAAGAGGAGAGGAGAGTACATATGTATATAAAGAAAGCAAGAAAGAAAGAAAGAAAGAATGAAGGAAAGAAAGATATTTCTTTCTGAATTTTATAGTATGTACCTAATACGTATACGTGCAGTGCAGAGTGTTTCACTTTCAACCAATTGACCTTCCGTTCGTTTCATACCACCACCCACCGGTTACCACCACCAGCTTGTACTATTACTATTCCCCCATCGTTCCATCGTTCGTTTCTTCCATCCTTCCTTTCTTCCACCACTCCACTCCACTCCACGCTGTTTTGTTTCGTTCTATTCTATTCTCCGTTCCACCATCTACCCTACCATCGATCCATTCCTATTCCTCCCGAAACGATACTGATACCGATACCGAGGAGGATTACTCTTCTTCTTTCTTCTTTCTCATTCCATTCCATTCCATTCTTCCCAACAACGACCTACTCCCGATATTGTCTTCTTCTTCTCTTCTGCTCTTCTTCTCTTCGTCTATTCCTCCGCCGATGCCGACTTGGCTTCCCCAACCTCCTTCGTCCCGTATTTGGACGTGTCGACACCGTGGTGGGGGTGGTTGACGAAGTTGAACCTGGGAGAGTAACAGGAGTGGGTGGGTGTGAAAAGGAGTGGGTGGGTGTGAAGAGGGAGTAGAGTAAGAGGGAGTAGAGTAAGTGGGGGTGAGAGGGACAGCGGAAGAGGGACAGCGGAAGAGGTTCCACGAGAATCCAATCAGTTAAAATACCCTTAAAATAATAATAATAATTGATTGAATATACGCACATCGGGAACGCAGCTAATCCACAGATCGACCAATCGTCAGAAAACTCACCGAAAACCCGCGCAACCCCCAAACAAAAAACCCAAAGAAAAGAAAACCAAAAAAAACAAACGACTCACAAAACTTCAACATCGAGAACACGGAATTCCTATGTGCCGCGCCCTGGACCCACGGGCTCTGGTGGGACTCGCCGTAGAGGGGTTTGCCCTCCCGCGCGCGGTGGGAGAGGTCGAGGAGGTCGAGCTGGGCTTCGCGGGTGTTTTCTGTCCAGCCGAGGAAGCGCACTGTTGAGTGGGGGTGTGAGAGAGGGTGAGAGGGAGGGTGAGAGAGTGAGAGTGAGTGAGAGGGAAGGTGAGAAAGCAGAGTCAAACACTCACTGCTCGAATTCTGATACGCCAGGAGGAACCCACCACATGCGCCGAGGAAGGCAGCGACACGGAGACCAGTGGCCATGCGGCGGGTGACGATCTGGATGGCGTTGCCCAGCGCGATACGCCCCGCAGGGAGTTTCTCGCCGGGGGCGAGGGTGATGCGGGTGATTTTGAGGCCGTTGGGGTCTAGGATTTCTGTACGGTGTACCATGTACGTGAGGTGTATCTAAGCAAGCAGCCTACAGCCACAGCACGCAGGGGATACTCACCCCAGGCCAGGAGGGCGGCGGGGACACCGAGGGTCGTGGCGCCCCAGGTGGCGTAGTCTGTTGGGCGGAAGTACCGCACGACGCGGGTGAAGTGCGGGTCGATGTCGATCACCGCGTACGGCGTCGTTAGCTCTTTTTCTGGCATTCTTGGTTCGGAGCTGGTTTGTGGTTGGAGAGCGGGAATTCGACGAGGAGTGTGGGAGTTGAGGTGTGTTACGGTGTGACTAAGTGTAAGTGTGACTAAGTGTGACTCGATGTGTGACTCGGGCTTAAGGGCCGGCTCGACTCCGGCTTACCTGAGGGGTTTTACTCCGAGTCTGAAGTTTTTTTTTATTGGCGCGCCTTGTGTTTTTTTGTTGTTGTTCTTTTTGAACTCACTCATTCTGCAAGACTTTACTGGGAGAACACAACAGGGCATCGACTTATAACAAAACACAAAACATCGACAACAACGACCAAAGATGAGTGGACCTGCTCGCCGGGGCAGTCGTTCTGCTGCGCGTTCGCTGGTCGCGTCGCCGTATGCGCGTCCTGTGCCCAAGAGCAACAATCAGGTCGATAAGCCGGCATCGTCGTTGACATCGGTGAGTGGGTGGTTTCTTCTTCTACCTCTCCTGCTCGTCACTAACGCACCTCTCGCTGGCCCCAAATCCACACAGTCCTGGTCCCTCTCCGGCATCTTCAACTACCTCAATCCGCTGCGGTTGCGGTATCAACACCCACAACAACAACAATCCCCACCACCTCAACAACCCCCTGAACCACAAACCCAATCCCAAGGGCAAGGAGAAGACGGTGGAGAGAATCTGCAAGTCCAAGCCGACGGTGTTGCGGAAGAAGAAAAAGGAGGAGCAGGTGGTGGAACAACCGCAGCGCACTCGTTGTCTGCGAGAGGACATCAGGTAACCACCCTATTCCCCCTACTCCGTGCCCCGAAGCTCACTTCCACACCAGATCACCCACTCCCTCTCCTCCCCGGCACCCCTCCCCCCTCCCGCAACGCCGTTCACATTCACCCGGCGCACTCCACCCCCGCACAACACACCCGCTCCCCCCGCCGCCGCCGCCGTCCCCTTCCGCCTCACCCCCGCCGCCGCCACCCCCGCGCCAGACGACACGGAATCGCAAACACGCGGCCTCGCGTACCTCTCGAAGTACCTCGGCGAACGCCCGCGCGACGAGCCGCTGACGCCGTCCGAGGCGGAGGAGATGATCATGATCATCAAGGGCAGCACACCCGGTGAGTGGGTCCCCCCAATCCACGCGCGATGCACGCTGACCACCCCCCCAGTGGACCAACACGAGACGTTCCGGTTCTCCAACAGCACCACCAACAACGCACCCAACCCCAACCCCAACCCCACCATCAACACCATCCCGTTCTCCTTCTCCCCGTCGTACCTCCGCACCCCGCGCCCCAGCACCCCCAGACTCCTCAAACACAACCCCAACGGCACATACCGCTGGGACGGCAGCGGCAGCCCCCAACACCCACACCCCCCCCCCCCCCCCCCCCCCTAGTATAGAGAGGGATGGCGGCAATGATAGGTTAATCTAACCCTAATCTAAAAAAAGAGTAGCTTGCCGCGATCCGAAACCTAAGCAAGGTGGACCTTATCCCACCCACCCTTCCCTCCCCTCCCACCCTAAAGGGATAGGGGAGGGAAGGGAAGGGATAGGGATAGGGAAAGGGTGTGCACTAGCTTCTCCCTTATGCTTCCTGTAAGATTTAGGAAAGGAAAACTATCCATCCTCCCTTACTAAATCCTAGCCTGCGAAGAATTCGCAGACGCAGGCTGGCTTTAAGGTAGTGCCTCCCCACCCCAGCCTCCCCACCCCAGCCCAGCCCACCCCTTACGGGATCGGGGGGGGGGGGGGGGAGGGGGTGGGTGCCTAG